GAGGGCCAGGAGGTCTCCCCTCAGCCTCCTCTGCTCCAGACTGAACCCCCCCAGTTCCCCCAGCCGCTCCCCAGCAGACCTGTGCTCCAGACCCTGCCCCAGCTCCGTTGCCCTTCTCTGGCCACGCTCGAGTCATTCAATGGCCTTTTTGGGGTGAGGGGCCCAAAACTGAACCCACTCAGCGAGGGGCGGCCTCCCCAGTGCCCAGCACAGGGCTCAGATCCCTTCCCTGTCCCTGCTGGCCACGCCAGTGCTGACACAAGCCAGGATGCCGTTGCCCTCCTTGGCCCCCTGGGCACATTGCTGGCCACTGTAAATGAGGAAGCCGGGGCTGAAATAACGTAGTATGACCTATAACGTATTTTCTGTCAGCTCTGTTTTAGGAAAAACAAATGCAAAGTTTGCATTCAAACACAGTCACCTAAAAGAATGACGTTACATAGTCAAGCACTCAAAGTTCAGACATGTTGGCGAGCTCCCAGATCATTTGCTGTGCATATGCATGATGGTAGAGTGTTAATTACATGATCCCGTACTGTTTTGTTCCGCAGGACACCTACCTTCCGTGCGCAGGAGAATGGCGTTCGTTTAATGAGCACCTGTGTGATGGTTTGTTTCCACATTGTGGTTCCGTGTGTGGCCCCATGCTTTATTTTCTGCTCACTATTCAAACCCAGCTCTCAAGGCGGTGATTAATGCTCTCAAGGATTTCTCCATGGCAACGATCAATCTGGCATTCCCTAATTTTCAAGTGCTTCACTTTGCAACATTAACAGTGTTTTCTGTTATAACGATGTGTTATGTCCTGTATTTTTAATGCAGCGTTTTAGTCCTGGCTGGAAAACTTAAATTTATATATCTCCTTTGATTTCAAAGATTGCTGAGATAGTACTAGCAGGATACTTTCCACTCCATATGATGGGGTTGCATGTGATAATTGGGAACATTTTTGTCCTATATTTCCATGTAGGGATAGTAAATAAATGATTACATACTAAAGAGATGCGGTAGCTGATGAGAGTATTGGAGTCTCTTGGACACTGCAGAAGAAGCAGCCAGGTTCCATACGGAACATACATTCCATACGGAAATGAATGGGAACATACGGAAATGAATGGGAACATACATTCCATACATTCCATACGGAAATGAATGGGAACAGTAAGAAGCAATTCTCTTTTCAATCAAAAAGTCTGTGCCCAGCAGTGTGCCCTCAGTCAGTCCTGGAGGTGCTCCACAGCCAACCAGTATGTAAATTCAGTTTCTATTTTCATTGCTTAGTGGTAACCATCAACAGATGGTATTTTGAAACACTCATAATTTTGGCTAATAGAGTTACTGTTGCCAACTGTCCTGTCCTCCAAGTAGCGATTAGATATATTATTATTAATAAATAATACCTAATAATGATACAAACAGTTCAAACCCTGAAGTCCTTAGTCCTAAGCAACTCCCACACTCTTCAATACTTTGTGCTCATATCTTTGGATGAGTAAGTGTTTTACTGCACCGCGCCAAGTCCTTCTTTCTGATCTGCATTACCAATCGTTATTTTTTTTTTAAATACAGATCCTATTGTCATCTTTCAGATGAGCTCTCACCAGTGGGAATTCCATATGGCCATTAGAAACAGAACTTGCTCATGCAGGACTCAGCCATAGAAACTTTAATCAGAACTTCCATTAAATTCCCAGAGCGGAGGAGCCAAAAACTCTCAGTGACTTTACACACTTGTATCCAGATGGTCCCTTCCAATTCCACAGAATTCAAGTGTTCATTTGAAAGGAAAAGTGAAATCCCATCTTTTATAGTTATTGCGATAACCTTCTGGACATGGCTGGAAAGGGAGCCAATGACTTCTACCTGAGTAAATGTGTGTGGTGTAAGGCCAATCACTCACAGCAAATTAATTTCTGGTACTACTGACTGTTTGGAAACAGTACATAGTGCACTGAGAAAGCAGCAGAAGGTGGGAGAGAATCCAACTGAAGGCCAGTCTTCAAAAAAGGAAGGAGGATAACCCTGCAAGTCACTATCCGGTGAAAGTAATGCCTAGACTCTGTGAAATTAAGGGGAAGAATACAGCAAGAAAAAAACGCACTCAGTGTTATCCTGGAGGATCAGGGAACAGGCAAGTGAAGGGGAGATATATGAGACTGGAGCGACAGGTGCACTACAAGAGTATAATTAAGCAAATCATACTTCAGGACTAAGTATTATATTAGTCCAAGTGGAAAGAGACTGAGCTGAAGGAAGGTGCAAATGACTTGCAAGGCTGTGAAGCTCATAACAGATCGTGAAGCTCCCCACAGTCAGCCACAAGATGAAGCCGGGAAATATTGTCCCTCTCTCAATGAAAGTAGCACTCAATTCTATCATAATTAGCATATGCAACATTTTTAGACAACTGCTTAAATAACTGTTTGCTCTTAAGTTCCAGGATTACTCTTAGTGACCGGGTGGGACATACTGTGATTTCCTAGAGTAGTGCTTCTACTTATACCCAAACTTTGATCATGCAGCCCAATTTCATTGGCAGTTTTGCCAGAGAAAGGACTGATGATTGAAAAACTTGGCCCAAAACTTCAGAGCAGCAGTGGCAGTAAACATTAGTCACTGTAGCAAACTAATTTGTTTTCCATATGGCATTTTCAATGGAGTGTGGAAGATTCACAAGTGAAATAATAATTACAAATGAGGAATACTTTGAAAAAAAAAAATGTGGTTTTCTCCCTATGCATCACTTAAAAGGATTTCTAATTAAGTCAGTACTTGATTATGCTGGAGATGACATTGGCAGCCAAATTATAGTTTGTTGGGTTTTGTTCTCAGGGAAAGATTGTTCCCAAGGGCAGTAAAATTCCTGCATCTATTCAGCCTGGGGTGCTGCTGAGGTGTAAGAGAGGTGAGAGAGGTGTTTAATTCCTGCTGGAAAATCAGGTGGTGAACATTTTCTTAATAATGTTGTTGCCTGTAGTAGAAAATTTTTCTCAGCAAGACGAGTGTCTGATATTACTGATTAAGCCAAGTCAAAGACAGGTGCTTTAAGATATCCTTGGATCTGTACCTGGCTAAACTCAAAGCCAGCTCAGAGCTGGACATTATAGGCAGGGTAGAAGGAGCTTCGTGAGATCTCAGCCCTAACATAATAGCCAGAATACCAGAATAACAGAATACCATATTTTCCTTTCAAATTACTGTTACGGGGGAAAAATCCCTACACATACACTATAAATGGAGCCAAGAATGTGTTAATCCAATTAATATTTTGAAAGTCTAATATTCCAAACTTTTTAATTAATGTTTTTAAAATCTCACCTATAATGCAATTTAAGTTTTTTCTTAAAAAAAAGCTTTCCTAGACTCTACCCCATATCTCTGGTGTGATGCTCACCCTGCCTGAGCTCTGCATCCCAGGGGGTGACCGGATCAGTCTCCCTCAAGCACAATCAGGGAGAAGGTTACACGTCACCACCACCCTGAGCTCTTCCCTGGCAGCAGTGTGATGTCTGTGGTGGGGTCTGTTCCTCCTCACTCTTGGGACCACCTGGGGGTACCTTCACCCCCCCTCTCCCCACCGCCTGTTGCCCAGCCCCAGTGGCAGAGCTGCCCAGCGCCAGCCCGGGCACACCAAGGGCTGGTGTTTGCTGGGCAGGGCCTGCCCGGGGCGGCAGCCCTTGGCCATGGGGGTGTCCCCAGCGCCGAGCTCAGGCAGGTCCTTGGGGATCACACTTGTGATCCCAGGGACACCCAGCGCAGGGCACGGCAAGCACAGAGACGTCCTGTGGGACCCTGTGGTGTCAGGTCAGTGCAAAGCCTGTAGCTTCCTACTAGTGATGGGCAAAATTACATTTATCAGGTTACAGTTTCAGCCCAGACTCTAGAGCACTGGGAGGTTTGGATCTGAAGACTCAGTTTTAAAATATAAAGTCTAAAATGTGAGTAAGATCTAAGATCTTTTTCAGCTCTCAGTTAACTTTTCAGGCCAGTCTTGTAAGGACATTTTTTCTGCAGGGAGTTATGCAGAGATTTTCTAGAAGGAAATGGGAAGAAATATAAGATCATTTTGTTCATACTCCCTTGTAACCAAGGCATTTGACAACTTGTGCTCAAACATTCGTTTTCTGTCTCACAAAGCAGTCTGAGGACAGTCCTCCTTTCTGATTTTCTCTGCCAGTCAATCACAGGGAACTTGCACAAGTGAATGGTGCTACATCCACAGACAACTGAGCTTGTGGAAAGATTTAGAACCCATGACTGTATTTTGGTTGGTAGTACAAATGCTGATTGTACTTTTATTTCTTTCATGCAGTTTGGATCCTGTCTATTCAGATCTTTATACAAATTTGGATTACAGTTCTTATCTTTTAATGGTTGTCTAGCATATGCACGGAGCAGCCATGCCAGAGCCCTGCTCTGAATGCAGAACATCCTGACGGCAGCAGAACAGGGCTGAATTAATTAAATGACCCTCGCTGACAGACAGCTAAGGCCCTAAGCATCAGATCCCATGGGGAAACGTCCACTTCTATCACTTCTACTGTTCACCAACCTCAAAACACTTTAAGGGTAAGATTTTTAAAAGAGCCTGCAAGAATATAATTCTCCTTTCTCTCGCTCACTCTTTCCCGGAGGTGCTGAAGTGCTAAGGCTTGGACAACAGGCCCAGGCCAGAGTTGCCCTACAGATGAATCCTGTGTAGTTTATAACTGATAACCACTGTGCTAGTAGGTGTTGTGCTGGGTTATAACAAACAGCTAGGCTGATGGAAAAAGTGCTGAAGTGTTGAAATACTGAATCCTGAACAACAGGCCCCAAGCCGAAGCTGCTAACTTAGTATGTAATCATTAAAGAAGTATGTATGCTCACTAGTGAAAGATGAGCTTAGACAGAATATAGTCAGTAGTGAGGAGAGAATGTATCCAGCTTCCCTTGTTTAGCCTTGATCAAGGCTGAGAACCCACATATTTGGCTTTGTTAGAAACTCCCTTGGTCTTCTCCCCATGAGCCCTGGCCAGGCTTTGGGTGGAATCCAACAGGAGAATGAAACCAGGTATTTTTCCCTCAAAACAAAGGTGCCAGCTATTGTGCGGGGCTGATTTTTGGTGTGTTAAGGCCGGACCTGCTCGCAGCGACTTTGGATGCCTCGGCTACGGGGGGCCGCAGCGCGTGGGGCTCCCCCCTTGCTGGGAAAGGTTCCCCAAACCCTCGCTGTAACCGGGGCTGCCCAGCGCCTGCGGGGCTGGGGGTGGGAACGGGTGCAGGGGGGATGGATCTTCCTTCATCACTGCTCTCTCTCATGTAGTAATGATTTGGTGCGTTACGCTGTATTTTCCTGTTTCTTGCTTTAAGTGCATTATTCTGCTTTTTCTTACTGCATGTTTTCTGTTACACTGTTACATTGGTTATCCCCAGTAAGATACACCTACTCTTTTCACTCTGGTGCGTGAGTTTAGTTGTATCCTTAATCAACAAAACAGGTCCACAAACCAGACACATTTTTTTTTTTGTCAAGATTAGCCCAGAAAAAGCCACAGGCCACATTTTGCTACATTTGAATATGGACAAACATTTTCTTTTTGCAGATCTGTCCACTCAGTAGGAGGGATCACCAGAAAACATGGTCAAGTCTTTTCCCCCAAGATGTCCTCATTATATTTATATATTTGATCCTCTGCCTGGATAGGATCAATTTACACTACCTGTGTGCATTGATTGACATGCAGAGACCCAAGAACACCGAGAAGGTACAATACTGCTTCACTGTTCAAATGTTGTTTCTCACTCTGTTGCAGTTGGTTGTAAAGGGCTCCTTAGAGGTGCTGGTTTGGGATCTGATCAGGCACAGCAGACTCATAGCTGACCTCCCAAAAGTTCACCTAACAATTAATGATACACATCTGAATGACTACGAGTCACCAAGACCGTAACTAAGACAATTTTTAGCACCAGCACTCACAGCCAGGTGAAGTCTATATGTTTTCATGATGACCTGCTCTGAAAATGAAGGTGAAAGTAGTCTTTAGTCTCAGCCAGCTTGCTAAACAGCATCACAAAGTGGTTCTTTTTGATGCTTCAAATATTATCTCTAATCTGATTTCAGAGGTTTAGGTATTCCTGGGATGATGATGATAATATTCTTTCATTTCTTCCTGGGCACTGTTAATCCTGACCATTAATAGCTACAAGTTCATATCCCCAGCTTCTGGTGTATCTAAGTCCACTTGTTCTGGTGTTGCTCCTCAGTGTGCTGAGAGGTCCAGAACGGATCTGCTGCCCCAGCATTGTTCTTTGAGGTGAAGCTGGCTGGTTTAAAAGTGCCATAAATCACAGAATCATCTAGGTTGGAAAATCCCTTGCAGCTCCTCCAGCCCCACCATGACCCTCCCCCTGACCGTTCCCAACTCCCCCAGATCCCTCAGTGCTGGCTCAGCCCGACTCTTCAACCCCTCCAGGGATCCCGGGGACTCCCCCCTGCCCTGGGCAGCCCATTCCAACGCCCAACAGCCCCTTCTGCACAGAAATCCTTCCTCAGAGCCAGCCTGACCCTGCCCTGGGCAGCTTGAGGCCATTCCCTCGGGGCCTGGCGCTGGGGCCTTGGCTCCAGAGACTCATCCCCCCTCTCTGCCCCCTCCTGGCAGGGAGTTGC